CCCCCCACCTGGGCGTTTCCACTGGCCCCAAAGGGGTCCTACGAGTCCACCACCGCCCCAGCATCCTGTCTATAGACGTGGAGCTGCACGTTTACTTTCTTTACATGTCATTAAACTTTGTGCAGTGCTTCGTGAGATATTTTGCTAACAGGTCTTGTTTGTGGCAGATGTCGGCTGACCATCGTTGATCAGGTTTAAAGGAGTTAGCTGTGTTTGTCCGGGCTGCAGCCCCTCACCTGCACGGCCAGGCAGCGGGCATCACTGCTCTGCAGAGCGGCTCTCATGTCCTCTATCAGCTCCCTCAAACTCGCATTTTCATCCTCCAGTTTTCCGATCCGGTCCTCTGCCGCCTCCAGGGCCACGATCTCCTCGTAGCACTCCCGGGTGCAGGAGCCCCGCCTGCGGCCSGGGGAGCTGCAGCAGCGGCCGTTCGCACCCCCGGACAGCAGCTTTTCTCGCCGCTTCAGGGGGCTCCTGAGGCGGATCTGAGTCTCGATGTGCTCCCCGTCCTCCCCGACCAGCAGCCGGTCGGTTTCATACCGACACCCGGCCCTGGTGCTGAAGTAGCCGCAGAGCTTGGCGTGGAAGTGTCTGAAGGTCAGCTCACCGGGCAGACGATCCGAACCCCTCGCGAGCTCCGGGTCCGCGTTCAGACCCAGAACTTCACACAGGACGTTAAAGTCCTCCGCGGGGATCCTTCCAGCACCCCGGTAGTCCAGATGGTGGAAGATCTCCTGCAGGTACTGGTCCAGTCCGGTGGCCAGCACGATGATTTCATTCTCCACCCCCCGGTCCAGTCCGTAATGGTAAGCCAACGTGCTGACGATCCACTGAGTTCTGCGCGCKGGTCGGCGGTACGGATCAAAGCAGTCCACGGAGTCCATCATTTGGACCGAGCATCATTTCCACAGACAGGACACGAGCACTGCTTAGTCTGCGCGTGCTGCATTTTCCCTGTGGCAGCGGGAGATCGCGCGAGGCGGGTTAAACCCAGAACAGATCCGAATTAAGCACTGCCCCCAAACCCACACGATCCAGGACTGTCCCAGGGGTTCTCCCAGCCTAATCAGCACCAGGTGTGGGAACTGTTGGCGGGTCCCTTCCTTCTTGGCCTCTAAGCTTTCATTATTTTTGGTCACCTAAAGACGAAGTCAGCTGATCATGTTTTTGACTTTAACACAACTGTGTGAAGTTTTGTTAAAGTTGTCGATCAGCGCGTCGGATCAAACGCCCTGAGGAACACTGGGGTGGCCACTGACGGAGCCAGACGAGATCTTCCGCCGCCATCTTGAACAGATCTTCCTGTGTCCTTGCCCTACTGTCGAGTTCTCCTATGTTTCAAGTCAAACGCTGCTTTGTTTAGCTCCACACAAACATGTTCCAGCTCAGGAAATGTATTTATACTGTAAATATTCAAAGAGCTTCTCCTCCTCCAGCTGTGGGGAATAGGAGCTCTTTCGCTGTCCTTAAGGCCCTTATTGACGTGTTTTGATGGGAGCTCCAGATGTTGGAATTTTAGGCTGTTTCAGTCCAACATCCTCCCACACAACACTGAATAATACATTTAGTCAGAGAACTTTAGTGGTTGTTACCAATCTGTACACTTATCACCTGCTGCCAACAAAACAAACAAAAAGCTGTGTTTCCTGTTTGTTTTTACAAGTTTTAAGATTGTTGTGAGCTTTCATCGGACTTTCATCAGACAGATCCATTTTCCTTTTCTTGTCACAAAGTATAATATATAGTATATCAAACTCTTTATATGTGGATCATGACCTCGGTGAAGGGTGATTATGTTTTTGCCTGAGTAGTAGTGTGTCAGAGCTGAAGATGCTGAAGTTTTCTTTGAGAGAAAAGAATGGAGAACAAAGAGACCTGACATTATTTGGCAGAACATTGTTGACAAAAACAGAATCTATATCCAGGTTGATTTGTCCAGCATACTCTCTAGCTCAGTATTTCCCAAAGTTGGGGTCATGACCCACAGTGGGGTCCTG